GTGCTCATCCCGTCATCTTCCTCTCTCTCTCTCTCTCTCTCTCTCTCCGATCCCGTCGTTGTCCCGGCCCACCTTGGCGCCGATCCCGTCGTCATCTCTCTCTCTCTCTCTCTCTCTCTCTCTCTCTCTCTCTCTCTCCCCGATCCCGTCGTTGTCCCGGCCCACCTTGGCGCCGATCCCGTCATCATCTCTGTGTGTGTGTGTGTGTGTGTGTGTGTGTGTGTGTGTGTGTGTCTGTGTGTGTGCGCGCCTCGTCTCATCGCATCCCTCTCCTGATCCTCTGAACCGGGAGGAGAAGAGGGTAAGATCCACGGGAATCACCGGGCAACCGAGATGGCACACGTGCATGCATGTGCGCTTTTACTATGCTCTCTTTAGGAGGCATACAGAAATCACTCATTTGCATGGACGTATGGTTGATCGACATGCCCCCAAAAAGAAAGAAAGAAAAAGAAAAAAGGCGTCCGATGCAATCGACCTATAGCAAATCAAACACGCGCACATTGGATCATGGTGGTTCCCTCCCTCGTTCTGTTTACTCTTGTCACCCTTCCATTTGGCATCCTTCCCCTCCCGCTGCTCGTTCTGCCCGCTACGCTCTCACGCCAGTCCCATCTGGCCACGGTCCTCCTTCCCCTCCTCGTTCCGCTCCTCCTGTCACGTTCTCCTCGTCACCATCCTCCTTCCCCTCCTCGTTCCGCCCCTCCCATCACGTTCTTCTCCTCACGATCCTCCTTCCCCTACTCGTTCTGCTCCTCCTGTTATTCCCCCCATTCGGCGCCCCCCTACTCCCGCTCGTCCTTTTTCCCGATACGATGCCAGTGTTCCCTGCACGACAGATGAAGAAACTCCTCCTGCCGTTCGTTGCCATCCTCTCCCCTGTTCGCCGTCCTAATGGCCTTCAAGTTCCTCCCCATCTTCGTTTTGCTCCCCCTCCTCTTCCGTCTTGTCCTCCTCCCACCAGTCCTCTTCCCACCCGTTCCTTTCCCTCCCCCTCCTGTCCACTCGCTACACATAAAACATCGCTCCCGCGGGTCATCCATCGGCGTCCGTCTCCATCCGCTCATCTTTCCTCCCGCTACTTCCATGCCAGCCCTCTCCGTACGATAGATGAAGAAAAGAAGAGACGCAGAGGATCGGGAGAGGGAGGCGATGAGACGAGCCGCACAGAGAGAGAGAGAGAGAGAGAGAGAGAGAGAGAGAGAGAGAGAGAGAGAGAGAGAGAGAGAGAGAGAGAGAGAGAGAGGAGGACGAAGGGATCGGCACCAAGGTGGGTCGGGACAACGACGGGATCGGAGAGAGACAGGGAGAGAGAGAGAGAGGAGGATGACGGAATGGGCACCAAGACGGGTGGGGACAATGACGAAAGCGGCCAGGGATCGACGCCTGTCGAGATAGGGGCCGGACACATGAAAACAGAGAGACAAAGGAAAGATTGCAGATAGACAGAGAGAGTGTCGATACCGTACCTTCGTCGGCCAAAATGTCCACAACTCCGCTACGTCGATATGTCGCCGCCCTCGGCCCACTTTTCCGCTGAATCCGCTCCTATTGATGTCAGCCACATTGCAGACGGGCACGCTTCGATCGAACGGGCTAGATTCACACCTGGTCCAACAGACCTCTCTGCAACCGCCACGTGTGATGTCTCCACTCACTACATACCACCTACTTCTCACCAACCCCACGTGTCCACTCACTATTCCACGTCACCAGCACTGCCGTATCCACGTCATCACCACGTGGCTTTCCGACAACCACGTCACCACGCGTCCACTCACTGTCCCAATCCCAACATGCACGACATCAGCTCCCTCACCTCCGTCTGCCGATCTCGGTTCGTCTTTCTGGCGGAACTCGAACGCTGGAAGACACGAAATCGGGCGCCCAAAGCAATGCCCACCCGGACCTTCCCCGTAAGCCCTGTCCGAAGCAGGGGGGCAAAGAACTCTGAAGCAGGGGGGCAAAGAACTCTGAAGCAGGGGGACAAAGAACTCTGAAGCAGGGGGGCAAAGAACCTTGAAGCAGGGGGGCAAAGAACTTTGAATTGAACTTCCCCGTGACGGCAGAGTGTTCGGCCTCGGGTGATACCATCCAGATATGCCCGCGTCAGGTCGGCGCGCCGGCACCCACCTCTTGAGTTAGGTAATAGCTTGTCCTAAGCTATGGAGGCTGCCCGACTGAACACCAGGAAGGACCTGCTTTATGCTACGTCTTGACGACGTAGTTCTGATCCATCGTCTACACTGACTTCTGAAGCTACGGTAGTAGACAAGCGAAGCACCCAGGGAAGCTAGTAGGCACGCGAAGCACCCAGGGAAACTAGTAGGCACGCGAAGCACCCAGGCTTTCCGTGAACTCCACTCTGTAAGGCTCGAGTACACGCTACTGATACGAATGGAGAAGGAAGTAGATAGACAGGCGAGATCCGCCCCTCAGGTATCGGGTAGGATGGATAAAGATGGTGACCGTTTGAAAGAGCTGGTGCGCATATGACTGTCGAAGGACAAGAGGTGAGATTTACGGTCAACGTGATTCTCGATCAAGCCAAGATCAACTAGTAGTTGAAAGAACACACGGTGACGTCTATCTTCAGAGCTGGAGCAAGGTATATACCAAGCTATACCAAGCCATGTCCAAGATGGTATAGTACGGGCATATGAAGACAAGAAGACCTCCGAAGGCAGCTCCGATGCACAGACGTTCCGCAGAGGAAGAGTGAAAAGTTCTGACGAGCTTACCGTAGGCACCTCTCACGATGTGCATGAATTCAAACCAAGGGTTGACGAAGGCCCAACTTGGACGGCAACGACAAGTTGACGACGAAGAATACTTCCAAGTGGTAGCTTTCCAAGTTCCCCTGCATGCTTTTCTATTCCTTGAGGCTCAAGTGCGCGGGGCGATTGGTCCTGTTTTACGCTCGCATCCACCGGAACAAGATCCAATGACGCCGGCACTGGTCAACATCAGATTTGACATCGACTGTGGCATGCCACGGATCCCACACGGACCCGAGCGGGCCCACCGGTAGGCTTAGGGGTTTGGTAGGGTTCTAGGGGCCCGTAGGTTAGTAGACTACCGATAGGGTAGGGCTCTTACCGACCCTGTAGTAGACTGATTTTCTTCCGGGTTTTTTTTTTTTTTTTTTTTTTTTTTTCCCCCCCTTTTAGTCCTTTTTTTTTTTTTTTTTTCCCCTAAAGCTATATTCTTTTCTCTCTGTCTTTTTTTTTTTTTTTTTTTTTTTTTAAATTCTATTGCTCAGTTACTAGGCTCACTGTGCACCATGCAGGGAGCTGGAGCGCAGCCAGTCGGGAGTGAGGATAAGGGCAGGGGCCTCGTCCCACTAGGTCTGATTTACGCTTGTGCTCCGCGGTTTTGGACCACGTGCGGCCGTCTGTGACATGCCTGAGTCGTTGATCATTTGGCGTATCGACTGCTAGTGTGGATTGTCTTTGTTTTCGTGGATGCTGCTTCCTGTCGGCCAGTAGAATTTTTTTCTTAACCATTTGTTGGCCATTTAGTTGGCCACTTTGGGTTGGCGCGAAGCTGCAATACTGTGGTTTTTTTAGGTGGACGAGGCCACTGTCAAAACCGAAAAGCACGACAAAAAAAAAAAAAAAAAAAAAGCATGACTGCGTCTTCCACGGAAAGTGGTAAGATGCATCCTTTGCCATTCATTCCTTTGCCATTCAAAACAAAACCCCTCCCCAACCCCCCCCCACAAAAAAGCCCGCCCACCTCAAAACCGAAACGAACGCCGGCCAAACTCTCAAAAAGGAAAGGCCTGGCGACGCCCGCCACCACCAAGAACGACCTATGCCACCTACTGTTGGTCCCCACGCTCCAACCTCTGCGCCGACCGTTTGGCCTACCGGTCTGTGCCTTGCCCCCGACCGCGCACCTTGTCGACACCCTATAAACCCCGTTAGAGGTCGTCGACATTTCCCCAAACAAAAAGTCCGCTACACGACAAAAAGTGCAACGGGTTAAGACGCAGCCTTTGGCTGCGAACATTGATTGCCAGTTACTTGATTCCTATAGGAAGTACCTAGCCGATGACCGGAATCTGCTGATAGGTGGGAGACAGTCTACTACTGAGGATAGATCAAGTAGGCATGGGGGCCTTTTGGGGGGGGGGGGAGGAGCCCCAGCTGATGACCGGGGTCTGGAGGAGGGCGCATAGGGTCGCCCCTCCGCTGCGTCAAGGGAAGGTACTTCTAGGGGCCTATACATAGTACCTACACATGGCTCACACAAGCACTGGTAGAGGTTATTGGAGCCCCCAGCATTGTCCCTCCGATGTGCCTATCGTGGTTGTACCTGTAGTCGGTATCTGGGGTAGTGTCTATCATGTGTGTGTGTGTGTATTATGTGGTAGAGACAGGCCTACCTAGACAGGATCCCCCCAAAGTCCGGAACCGGACTCAAATCTGTGACCTACAGTATAAGACTGGAGGGTTCTACCACATCACTACCATAGGAAGTGGATATAATGTGTGAAATATCTAGGCTGGGGGAGATCATCAGAGCGACCAAAGTCAACAACAACAAGCAATCAACGTGAACTTGAAGTCTATAACACCATACAACACCCATGGACTAACCCCCTGGGTGGTGTGTAGGCAGTGTCTGTAAAAGACTTTAATAGTACCATGCATCAGCCCAGGGGGTGTGTGTCCAGTTGTGCGTCATTCTAACGCCCTGCCGATGTCCATCCGCAAGGCTGAGGAGTTTTGAACCCGCAACCTTATACCACAATGCGCATTTTCAACCTGTGCTCTAACCATTGAGAACATAGGATTCGTGAAAACCCAACAAAAAAAAATGTTGGGTTTGAACGAAATTTATAAAAGTACAATATTTAGGTCTCCTGCAGGAGCAAGATTTCACATGAAGTAAAACAACCACAATAAAAAGGTACTTTTTGACAACCACTAGAAGTGGCCAGGAAAAGCACACGATTTTTCACAGAAAATCACTACTAATTGAATCACAGTTTAGTGAGGAATTGAAACATGCATTTTTTTTATTATCTCAAAAGATTGCGTGTGTATAGTCTTATAACTCGTGCAGCACACCGAACATGTTCGGGGGTTTTGTGAACAGACTATTATGTTATCTTGCTTGTAACTACGTTCGCTCAAACATGTTCTCTTTTTGGTGGGGAAACATATTTTTTTTCAAACTAATTTTTTACTTTTTTAAAGTTTTTTGTTTTTTATTTTTGTTTTTTTACTTGATTTTGACTAAGAATTTGAAGGTGTCTCCGAGGCAAAAGTTGTTTGTTTTATTATTTTACATAACATATAATATTTTGGCAAGGATTTTAATACTAACTTGAAAATTGCCATATTGGCCAATATGTGTTGAGAACGGTGTATAGTCCTATATACGAGTATTCACTGGAACTGAGTTTTTTACAACTTTCGATTTTGCCTTGCAGTTGTTTTATCGAAGCTCTGCTTTTTGTCGGTCTGATGAAAATGAGTTATAGTCATATAACACTGGCAGGATCTTTGCTGTAAATGATTTTCCTAGATACTTTGCGGATCATTTTACTTTTTGCTCAGTTTTTGGCCTCGCTTCTCAAGAAAAGATTTGAAACGCTGTTTTTTTTTATCAGATACAGTTGTTTGACTTTTAGTATTTCACTCTATAAAAAATGTTGGGTTTTGTCGTGCTGTTGGGTTTTCACGAATCCTATGTTTGAGCTACATCTCTCAATTTCACCTCGCACTACCTACCTACCACTACTCCTAATTGTAGGGATTTACTCCTTTTCACTTTAGCGCAAGTTACTTTTTTTTTTTTTTTTTTTGAGAACGAGAGAAATCATTATAAGATGGGAAGCGGGCTTAACTTCCCTCACACAATTGGCCGCAGCCCCAGGAGATGAGCAAGGCTCTCCGGCCAGGCTTAACCCCTTTTCTGCAAGTCACGCCAGTGTAGCCTCTCCCGTTACATGGCGCCCGTACGAGAGAGAGATTAGGTCCTCGCATGGTTGAGCGACGCACGTGGGCGTATCGACGGCGAGGCGCAGCCATGCGCGTCCTAGGGGTGCGCGGCACCGCAGGCCAGCGAGACGTGCGGGCCCTCGCACCCGTGTATTTTTGGTGTTCCCTAGCGGTTGATTTATTTTTCCTACTTTTATTTTTACTGTTTTAGCTCGACAATCGGTTTCGAGATCGACGTCGGGACCGACAGGCCTGGCTCAGTTGCTACATAACCGGGCATTGGTAGCCGTCACAACAGACGACGACCTTAACCATGCGCCTCTTTTGGCGGGGCCGTTCGGGTTCCAGCGTATTGGGGATGCTGGCAATTTTTTTTCATCCCACCCGGGTTGAAGCACGGACTGGAGAAGTCAATGGACGTGGGAGTGGAGGAATCCAGGGTCGTGGCTTCCTTTGTTTCTCGTTTGGAGAGTGTCGGTAGCCTAAAGATGGGAGGGAATTGGAGAATACTCCGAGTGGGTCTGTAGGGCCGCGACCCGAGGGTAGCGGGGACTGTTGTGGGTAGTCCGCCCCCCCCACCATC